TCAATTCAAGAAGGTATTTCTTCAAAGAATTGGATATTTCTTTAACGTTTATTAGTCATTGTTATAATATAATATTTATATATAATAATTGTAATTGCTTTTATGATTCAATTTCTAATTATTAGTATTTTAAAGTAGTGTGTAACATTTGTTATGTTCTATAATGAGTAATTTAAATGTTATTACTATTATATCTTTGTTACTGTTAATGTTTGTCAACTTATATAATGTGTATTTTGTTCATTATAGTAGATAAGTACACATTATGTATAATATACAAGTTTTGTTTGCACTTGTTATGTTTTATTAATAATTGTTCATAACTATGAATGAATATTTTGTTTTTGTGTTGAAAACATATGGTAATTTGTTTGTTTCCATATAATATTCGTTTAATAACATTGTAATTATTATTTATGTAGTACTTTTAGTAAATGTACTGAGTTCTATTAAGTATGCTTGTGTCCATTATTACCTATTTTATATTATACTGTCTGAGATAATGGCTTAAACATTTTATTAATTTATTTAATCATATTATATTATGATTATTTTTGATTGTAATTATTATAATAATGCATTTGTAATAATTATATTTGTATTATCTGTTGTAATAGCTTTATCAGCTTAATACTTTGCTCCTATAAGCTATGTTGTCACAATGTAAATTTAATAATTGTTTGTTAAGGTATATACACTGTACAGTTGATGTTACTGTTGCAACTTCGAAATTTATTATATAATCAGCTGCTGTGAAAAGACATTCTGTGTAATTAAGTTGTATTGTTACATTGTTTTGAGTATATTAGAGATATAATTCTTTTGTTCATCATTAGTATACATTTACACAATTGTATTAATGTGTAAAGTAGTATCATTTGTTTAATAGTTATAATTTTTTTGCACTTGTTTTGTGCTGTAATCAGTATTTATACATTATAACATTATTCTTTTGTGCATAGTTAGTTTATACACTCTGTAGCATTGTTTTTTGGTTTGTAGTTATTCATTATACTTTTGTATATCTGTACTTGTCTGTATATCTTAGATATGTGTATTATATTCAGTATCTGATAAGTAATTGCAATATCCAACATGTAACCACTGAATCCGATATATTACATATAATTGCTTAACCATAATATGTGTTAGTTATTATATTGTTCTGTATTCATTCTGTTAGTTCTATCCAATATTATTATTATTATCATTATTATTATTGTTATTATAGTGTCTACAATTGTATTATTGTTTATAATACATGTTAAATGTTTTATTTATTTGATTTAATATGTTGTTTAGCATATATGTGCTTGTTTTGAGCATTAATTGTTTGGCTGTGATATTACTATATGTGTTATTATTTTATTTATACTATAACATATGTGTGCTTGTTGACAGTGTCAATCATTTGTACTATTGTAATGTTAATAGCAAAAGAGTAGTGTTTGCTTTATTAATCTTTTTAATGTTTGTCTGTAGTATGATCAGTTAATTTATTATAACATGATCTCTATAATATTATAGAATATTTTAGCATTTAATAATTGTAGTAAGTGATACTCATCATAGTTTCAACATTGCCTGCATAAATTACATTATTACTGGGCCAATGATCATAATCACTAAGATGACAATCATATAATGTCTGGGTTGTATGTAGTACAGTAGATTGTGTGTTCACATTGTATTGATTTGTGTTTAGGATACTCAGACAGGTGATTCAAGTTCTGCATCATAGTATGCTGTGTGTGTGTATGTGATGTATAGAACTGTATAGAGTATAGATGTAGTAGAGTGTAGATAAAGTGTAGGCAGGGAGCTCAAGGCTTATAACCTGTTAAGAAAGGGAAGAGAGGTTATGTGAGAGGCTTAGAGGGATCACACAAAGAGGGGGGATAGTGGACTCAGCTCACTCTCTCACAGCTTGCTTCATTGTCTGTTGATTAGTTAGTCTATATATACTATGTAGGTATGTCTTAGATGTAGAATGTATGATGGAAGGTATTCCATCATTGTTCATCATTGCTTGTAATGTAGTTTATATTATCTGAGACATACTCTTGTGTAGTCTCATCTTAACAACACTTATGCCTCCTTTTACACTCTAAGCTTTAGTATTACCTCTATTCTACTCTATACACTACACTACACCCACTTGTAAAGTGTGTCTATTAGACTACAAGTATACTAGCATGTCTCACTCTGAGTGTACTAAAAGGCTTAGCCTTTCTTGTTCTACTGTCTCCTGATTACACTGTAAGCTCCTCCTTACTAGTGATCCATACTTTGTTATGCCTAAGCCAGGTTGTCCTACCAAGCTTTTGTCACCTGACTATTGTTCTGCTGTTAGAATGCTTGTATCTGGTTCAGCTTGTAATACTACCAATCTCAAACAAAACTACTTCCCTCATGTTAGTAAGAGTACTATGTGTTGTCACCTTTATAAACATGGTCTTAAGGCTTATGTTTGTTACTGTAAGCCCTTTCTCAGTATCAAATTGAGGCAGGCTAGAAAAGAATGGGCTCACACGTTTGGAGATTAGACTGCTCTAGACTAGCATTCTGTCATTTTCTCTAATGAGTCCAAATTCAATCTTTTTGGCTCTAATAGTTGTCAGTAGTGTTACAGGAGGTCTGGGCAGGAGTTTGATAATGTTTATGTGTAGAAGATGGTAAAGTATGGAGGTGGAAGTATTATAGTTTAGGGGTGTGTCACTTCCAAAAGTGTTGAGACTCTTCATAGGATTGAGGGTAAGATGGATACAGAGATGTACACACAAATCCTACAGAGTTCACTTCTCTCTACCTTGAAGAAACTCAGAATCACTAAGAAGTATACTCATTTTGCTTAGGACAATGATTCTAAGCACAAGTCTAAACTTGCTACTACTTGGTTTGAGTCTCATCATGTTCATCTTCTTCCATAGGCTTCTAGTTCACCTGACATGAACATTATAGAGTATGTATAGGACTATGTGGATGCTATGGTTTGTGCTAGAAAGGAGCAGCCAAAGAATAAGGAGGAATTTTGGAAGGTTTTGCAGGAGGAATGGTACAAAATCCCTCTTTCTTATATTTCCAAACTTTATGATTCTATGCCCAGTAGAGTAGAAGCATTGAAGAAAGCAAGGGGTGGATACACTAAATACTAAATTTCAAGTCATTTGGAGGTAGTTCTGAATTTCTACAAGTCATAGAAGTAGAGTAGATACACTAGAGTATAAGTAATGCAACACCTTCCTTTTCTTAGATAGCCTCACTTTTACACCACAACTCCTTATCATCATTTAATGGCCTTTTATTTAGTAGCATAGTAGTCCTTCTTTACTCTACAATTTACAGTACTTTAATTGATAAAGATTTGATTGAGTTACAAGCAAAAAAGTAAATTGTCATATAGTGTTGTAATACTTTTGTACACACACTGTATGTGTGATCTCC